TCCACAGATTCACTCCCCAAATAGCCTCAACAGCTGGAGCTGCGCCAGTCCAAAGCCAGGAGCTTCTTCCAGGTCTCCCTCTCAGGTGCAGAGGTCCAAGCACTTGGGCCATCTTCTACTGATTTTCCAGGCCACACCAGAGAGGCAGATTGGAAAAGGAGCAGCCAAGAATCAAACTAGCACCCATATGGGATGCTGGCACTGACAGGCAGAGGATTAGCCTACTGAACCACAGCCCCAAATGACCAGATTTCTTCAACAAATCAATTTCAAAGGGTAAAAAAGAGGGAGACAGAATCTACTGAATGAACAAACTGTCGAAGTTGCGGGATGTCCTGAGAATATTATATTATTCTACTGACAATCACACACCATTAGAGCCCAGAGACCTCTAATTGGTACTGCAAAATATTTTCCTAATAAATAATTATTCAACACAACTAAGCAACTGTTTGGGCAAAAGGCAAATAACCGTGTATTCTAGAAGTATCAATAGCTATGTTAACAATAACAATCAACACTGACTAAACATGTCCTATGCATTAGGAACTGTTCACAGTATTCCACATAGATGAAATCAATACATATACACAGTCTGGCTGTGTTGGCATAGTAGGTAAAGCTGCTGCCTGCAGTGCTGGCATCCCCTACGGTAGCTGATTTGAGTCCCAGCTGCTCCTCTTCCAATCCAGCTCTCTGTGGTGGCTTAGGAAAGCAGTGGAGGGTGGCCCAAGTCCCTGGGCCCCTGCAACCATGTGGGAGACCTGGAAGAAGCTCCTGGCTCCTGGCTTTGGATTAGCACAGCTGAAGCCACTGTGACCAATTGGGGAGTGAACCAGCAGATCAAAGACCTCTCTCTCTCTCTGCTCTCCTCCTCCTCTCTGTGTAACTCTGACTTTCAAATAAATAAATAAATATTTTTAAAAAACCAATGGTATTAAGATTTAGAAAAAACAATCTTAAAATTCATATGGTGTCGCAAATGACCTAGAATAGCCAAGGTGATCTTGAGCAAGAAAAATCAAGCTGAAGGCACAATACAAAGCTATAATCATTAAAGCAGCATGGTACTGGTATAACAAGTGACACATAGATCAATGGAACAAAAGTGAGCCCACAAAATATCCATCTATATACAGCCCAACTGATTCAACAAATGGTGCTAGCAAAAATGGATGTATACTTGTAGAAGAATGAAATTAGATCCATACCACTCGCTATACATAACAATCAACTCAAACCGGATCAAAGACCTAAATTGAACAGATTACAAAGTTGCTGAAAGAAACCGAAGGCAAACGCTCCAAGACATTGCTGTAGAGGACGACTTCTTCGACAAGACCTCCAAGGCACAGGCAACAAAAACAAAACTAAACAAATGGGACTATAACAAACTCAGAAGCTCCCATGAAGATGGTAACTGTCAAAATCTGTGAAGGACGGGTTGTTACCAATGAGACCTCATTATTTCACCGAAAAGCTGGCAAGATCAGGGAAGCCTGGGGTAGCGTCAGCTGGATGGTATTGCCAGTGTTCTCCATGAGGAAAGGGTATTTTTAAAATGAAGGATTATGATTTTCTTGACAATTAGGGCCATGTGTCCCCATATTGCTTCCAAATTCCATTTTTGAAGATATCAAGATTGTTGTGAGGTACGCAATTAATATATTAATTTCCGGTCCAGGTTCTGTCTCCCACAGAGTAAGAAACACTAAGCAGACGTTGGTATGCTGAGTTGATAGGGACAGAACACACACACACACATTGACGCACGCGTGTGGACCACCCCACACAGAGAAATACCCAGTATAGGCCCACAATTCAGAAGAAAAAAACCCAAAACAGTACCTCTGAGTGAGAGCCATCCGCGGTGGGAGACGGGAAATGTGCAACACCCCTAAGCGGGGTCTGTGGTGGAGAGAGCCGGCGTCCACCTCTCTAAGGAAGTGGGTGGTACCCACCTCAGATAGACAACCCCGGCGGGGGTCTGAGCATGCGCCCTGGTCCCAGCTCCATCCTGGGAAGGTAGGCGCCCCAGACTGACATCACTTGGGAGGGACACAAAGTTCCAGGTTGCCCAACCTTCAACTAACCCCTTAAGTTACTCCACATCAGTTGGAGCACTATGGCTCAGATTACGTTAGCAGATGTGTGGTTTTCTAAATACCTTTGTTTACAGAAATCCTAATGTTGCCTAAAAGTCACTCGCTGAGATGTTTACTTGCTTCCAGGAAAGAGCTAGAACCAATTCATTGCTTCCATTACCCCATCCTGAACTTTGATGATGGAGCCGGACTAAAATGACTCTGAAAGGTTTTTTTCCTAAAAGGGAAAAAAAAATTTATCCCGCTTATAAATATCAAAGCAGCCACAGCTGCTAGCACTCCAGCACAATCCCAGCAAACATTTCTTCAATTATTCAGTCGGGGTACTAGTCAACTGCTTCAAAGTTACATTTTTATAAAGTGTCAATTACAGCAGTTGCAGGGCTGACCCCCTCTGAGTGGAATGGGGAAACTCCCTTCTCCCCTCCCTTCCTCCTCACTCCCACTGCCTCTTTGCTTGCTCCTCTTCTCTCCGCCCCTCCCTCCTTGTCTGTCTCCCTTCCTAGCCCCCACCCCACCCCAGCAAGGGACCTTTGGTCAGGCTCTGGGGGAGGCTGGGTCATCCAGAATAGAGGGGCAGCCGTGTGGTAGGGTCTATAGCACCAGGAGGAGACCAGACAGACTTCGATGCGGGAGTGGGAGAGCAGGGCTCAAGGGGGAGGCCTCCAGGGTCTGGAGGGTGCAGGGGGCTCTGTGGCCAACATTCGGGATCTGGTGTAGGGGCTGGTTCCACTTCAGACTATCCGTGTGGCCCTACGAAGTCACTTCAACTTTCTCAACTTGCGCTGTGCTGTAAAAGTGAGTGCGACAGGCATCCAGGTTCCCGGGGCTGCCTTAGGAACTGGGTGACAGCACAGTGGTGGTATCTGACACGTGTGGAGGCTGCAGGTCCTACTCCCTCCCCAAGATGCTAGAGAAGGGTCTGTCCCAGGCTGTTCTCAAGCTTCCAGGTGTTCCCAAGCTGTGGCTGCGGCTCACTCTCACCGTGCCTTACGGGCTGTGTCTGTCCGTCTCTGGGAGTAGATTTCCCACTTTTATAAAAGGACACCGTCAGATTGGATTAGCGCCTGCCAACGTGGCCTTCTTTCAACCCGATTACCCCTCTATGGATCCCACCTTCAAATAAGGTCGCATCTGGACTACCTGTGGCCTAGGAACTTCAACAAATCTTCCTTCTTCCTGAGGGGACACAGCTCAACCACAGCATCAGAAGTTCCTACCAGGAATTAAATCTGGGTGTGAGAGAGGAGGGAGAAATCACTCGGTGATTCCTGTGAAGACAAGAGCCTTCCCAGGGAAATGCGGTGGGGGGATCATAACATTCTTTAACAATTAATTAGTTAATTGCTTTGAAAGCCAGAGAGAGAGAGAGAGACTCATTCACCCAGTGGGTCACTCCACAAATGCTCACAGTGGCTGCAGCTGGGAATGCAACCCAGGTCTCCCAGGAGGGGGCAGGGGTCTAACTCCTTGAGTCATCACAGCTGCCTCCTAGTCTGCCTGAGAAAGAAGCTGGAGTCAGAGCCTGAGCCAGGAGTCAAGTCCTAAGCAGGAGGCCAGATGCTTACCCTGGGGCCACGGTTTAAGCCAGTCCTGACCCAACCTGTAGCTGATCAGACTGTTGCAGGTAAGAGATAGGCAACTCCACGGATGGATTTGGGTCGTGCCCTCCTAGCTCCTAAGAAAGGACGTAGCCAGAGCTCCCCAGACTGCAAGGGTCCTGCCCCTCCAAAGGCGTGTCATGCTGTGTCTGGCTTATTTCACTCAGCCTAACGTCCTCCAGTTCATCCATGCGATCAAAAGCAAACAAGAAGCCCTCTGCCCTAAGGCAGGGTGACACTCCATGGATGGACAGACCCCGTGCTGGGTATCCAGTCACGTGTTGGTGGACAGTTGCATTACCTCTACTTCTTGGCTATTGTGAATTTGCCACAATGAACATGGGCATCCAGATGGTGCTGCAAGACTCTGATTCCCTCACTTTTGGATAAATACCCAGGAGTGGTGTTGTGCAATCACACAGTAGCTCCACTTCTAGCTGTCTGAGGGACCACAGTGGTGATTTCCACAGCCACAGCCCCATTTTCCATTCCTCTGACAATGCGCAAATCGCTACTCATCGCCCCCACCTACAGCTCCTGGACTCTCCTGGGCCTCTTAACACCCTGCTCTGCAGACAGAAGTCAATCAGAGATACGACATAACCTTCAGCTATGACCTTGACCTCCCAACACCTGCTCTTCTACTAACATAAGGGTGGGCAGCTCAGGAAAGTGTCCAAGGCCATTTTCCACCCCACATGTTTGAGAGGCTAACCTTTCCCCAGCCCTAAGAGGCAGCAGCACCATCCATTCTCCATCATCCTGCACAGAGCAAACAGGCACCTGAGTGCTCAGGCATCAGGTTAAACGGCTGCTAAGGGAGCAGAGGGGGGGGGGGGGTGTGGAGCAGGGAAGGCCTCTGTCATTCCGCTTCAAGCCTGCTTGCAGCAGACGGCTCTGCCCAGCCCTTCCTGTGCCCTTGTTGCCATGAGCAGGCCTTTTTCCCACACCCTCAGCCATTCTCCTCCCTCCTTCCTGGTCCTACCCTGTGCTCAGCAGTCCTGCCAATGGCTGCATGGGAGCTGCCTCCTTCAGCAGAGCTCTGACGCACTTCCTGCCTTGACAAAGACGCTCATTCCCAAGTCCTCCTGTACCTCAGAACCCAGCTTCCAAGTCCTCCTCTGCAAAAGGAAGAGATTTCCACTGGAAAGTGATTTTCAAGCCCAGTCGCTGATCTTTGGCTGTTCTCTATGAGGTGAGCCGCAAGCAACCTGTGGGCAGTGAGACCTCAGAGGAGATGATCTGTGTGTCCGTAGGGGCTAATAGTACATGCCCTCCCAGTTTTATAGGCATCACTGTCACTCTCCTTTCAACACAGCTCCAAGAAGAGAGAAGGTGAGTTGTCTCTGACATCAGGGCAGGAATTGCTTGCAGTCAGGTTGGACTTTGGTGCATGGACTGTTTCTTGTGTCAAGGTTATCCTGCTCACTGTAATTACTCCTCTTCCCAGACAGCACAGAGCTTCAGACATGGGCCTTCATGGCTACCTAAGCCAGACAGGCCCCAGCTGCTGAGCTGATGGAAGGAACATTCTAGAACATTCCAGGGTGAATATGTGGCATGTCCCTTGTTCTACGCGGGCCTGAGCTCCTCAATCCTCACAGTTTCCTTTCTATCACCATTTTACATGTGAGGACCAGTGTTCTGCAAAGCCAAGATGGCCTGGGAGTGCCCGTGAGAGCTGGAGGCAGCCAACTCAACCCCACACTGCTCATGTGCCCTCGCGTCAGGCCACTGGCGGGAGGGGTGACCTGGCCACCACAGGCACCACAGGGAAGTGACTGTGGGGCAGAAAGCAGAGTCCATGCAGATTTCCCAGACAAGAGGGCGGGGTCTTCTCCAGAGGGTGATAAATGGCTACAGAGCAGAACAACGCCACCTGCCGTCCATCTTCTGTATTTTGAGGACTGAAGGCTTCCCAGACAACAGAGACACACTCCAGGGGAAAAGACTCACCCAGACAGGTGGAAGAGCCCATCAACAACTTCCCCCAGCTCCTAAGTGATCCCTGTCAGATCATTAGCTACCCGACAGCCTGCAAGAACTAGGGCAGAATAAAAGAGAAGATTCGGATAAAGCCACTGTGTCACAAGGCAGTCACAGTTAAACAGCTCTCAAGACCAAAGGCTCACAGCTCCCAAAGGAAAAGAAATTTGGATGACTGTGAGACTTCTGTGCCTCTGGCTTCCCCAGGTTGGGGCCAAGCCAGCCATGGCCTCCAAACCCCTCTGGCTCTGCCCCTCTGTGCCATTCCCGGCTCCTCCCTGGCATCTGGGGCAGCCACCCTGCCACCCTGCCCCCAGCTCACAGAATCACAGAATCGCACAAGCCACCAATGCCAGCTCTTTCTTTTCGCGTCTCAGCATCCCAGATACACCCAACATCCACTTGGATGGAGCCCATTGGAGATGCCAGGGGGCCATCAACACGCTGCTATTGGCTTCAAAAGGACACAGCAAAGCACTGAGGCCAACCCCACACGTTCAGCCTGGAGCTGAAGTCTGCAGCCTGTAGACACCTGCGTTCTCGTCCACAGTCATTCAGAGCGCCTCTCCGCAGGCGGGTCTGACCAGCAAGTCCCACCCCCACTTCCCTACACCCTCCCTTTGAACCCACCACAGCCTCATAAACAAGAGAGCCCATCCCCCCAGCACCAGCCACACCACCTGACAGCCACCCCGATGTCTCTGGTATCTTTCAAGGCAAGCTTGCCTCTCTGGCCCCATCTGTCCGTCTGCACCTGGACCTCCTCCCTGCCTCTTCCTCTCCAGCATCTTTGCCTCCCCTTGGTTGTACCCAAAGCATGCCTGTGGTGAGACCTGGGCCCTGCTCTCTGCTGGTTCCTCTTTGGGGCTATCCCTGCAGGAGAAGCACTGAGGGACAGCGTTGAGTGGGGGAGGCAGCAAGCACTGTCCAGGAATACTGGTTTCTTTCTAGTCCGGTGGAAAGCGAGGAATCGGGCCCGGTTTTTCTGGATTGCAGCCTGGTGAACATTTCTCCTCTTTTCACTCGCCTCACAGACCCTGCAGCGCTCCTGCTGCCTCCCTCACCTCTGCCCGGACGTGGATGTCCCAGCATGACTGCTCTGGATCAGTCCTCAGGTTCGGCTAGCACTGTTACCACCCCAGCCTCTCATGGACCAGCACCCCAGGGTGCCTTGGAACTCCCGGGGCCAGCTCAGGCCAGACGCACCTCCAAGAATGGAGACATCCCCACATCTTGTCTCTCAAGCCGGGGTTTGATACCCGACAATTTCAGCCACCCCAGACAGTGGCTGCACCCTTCTGTGGCACCACCCACCAGCTCTCTGCATCCCCAGCTCTCCTTCCTAAAAGCTCATGACAGAGCCTCGGGTGTTCACTGAGCTCATAAATAAGAGTGTTAATTGTTAACTTGACAACAGAAATCACTGTGCACCTGCTCCCCATGTAGGACTTCTGTCCTTGATGAGTTGCCCTAGGAAAATTAACTATAAAACTTGTTTTCAAACAGCACTTTGTACTTTGTGTGTCTGTGTGGGTGCAAACTGTTGAAATCTTTACTTAGTATAGAGTTGGTCTTCTGTAGATAGTTACTTAAAAACAAATCTTAATGAAGAATGGGATGGGAGAGGGAGTAGGAGGTGGGACGGCAGTGGGGGCTGGAGGGTGGGTATGGGGGGGTAACCTTTATATTCCTAAAGCTGTACCTATGAAATCTGTGTTCATTCAATAAAAGCTAGAAAGCAAGCAAGCAAAAGAGCTGACAGCAGATGGCAGCAAAGACCGTGCTCCAGCCTAGGTC